ATCACCTCGCGTATAGCTGATATTGCGCTGAGTAATGGCCCGGCGGATGGCATCATTCATCCATGGTTTATCGTTGGGACGTCGTTTGACTGTGATAAGATCAAAGTATTGCCGATATTTTGTGTCTAGAAGTTGATGAAGATTTGCAGTCATTTTGTTTCCATCAGTGGATTCCTTATATTCTGACCAGTCCATCTGCGTGATCCATTGACCAAAGGCGCGAATGGAGGAATCACGAAATGGTCGGAAGGATATTTTTGTAGTGTTGCGTGGTGGAATAAGGAGCAGAGGAAAGTAAGTAATAACAGAGTGGTCACTTAAAGCAATGGGTGCTGAAATGACAGGCTCTTTATAACAATCCCCGAGATCTGTCAATAATTTGTCCAGGATGGATGTTCCCCTGGTCGGTTCTTTTACTACTTGGGACAAGAGGGTGAGCTGTTCCAAATGATCCGTAGGAAGGTCATTGAAATCACCAAGGATTATGAAAGATGCATTCTCCGACAGGGTTCGAGCCCTATCAATCATCATTATGATGTGATCACTCAGTTGGTCTTTATGTGGAGACCGAGGTGGGGAGTAGAGTACACAAACATATATATCTCTTGAAAGGCGGATAGTAGTAGATGATCGTAGACGAACCCACAAAACCTCTAGATGTTCGGGTACATGTTCTTTGAAGATTTCATAACAGTTTATATTCTTGTCCACATAGAGAAGAACTCCACCACCTATTCGTTCGTTACGATCTTTGTGAAACTGTTTAAATGATGAAAGTTGATATGCAGAAGCCGGGTTGTCCTGGGAAAACCATGTTTCTGTGCTGGCAATGAGGTGAGGAACATTTTGCATTGAACAAAGAGTGGCTTCAAACTCACCAAACTTGTTGGCTAAAGAGCGGGCATTAAAGAGCATCACAGCTGGTAGACACGACCTGGTGGTGGGTCGACATGTATCCCTGAGCACTGATTTATCAATCTTTCTAATTCGGATATTGTTAAGCTGTTGCTGCTTTGTCCTATTTGTGATGATGACAGGGATGTTATAGGTCTTTCTTTGCTTTCTTCCCCTGTGTGTTTTCCGTTTCTTTGATATTCCCAAGTCATGAATGGTGTTCCAGACGTCCTTGTCAAGTCTTGGAGGGTTTTGGTTACCAGAGATTTGATTAAGTGCGTGAAGGGTGTTGTTATCATATATCTTTCTATGTACCTGCATCAAATCATACCCACTCTCCTGCTGGACAAGGGAAGGTCCCGGGTTGGGATCAACATCTCCACAGGTCATAAGAATAGTTTGAAAAGTTGCAGAAGAGTTATTGTAATACCTTATGCGGGCTCCTGCGAACTTCTGTGTGTCAAAGCTGCACATACTTGTACATGGCTCTGATTTGATGTTGTAGTTAATCGCACTAGCATTGCCTGTGGTGTAGCTACATTCACAGTGTAGCAGGGTCAATAGGAGGGCAGTGTAAAGAAGGAGGCTTATCCTTCCCCTTGCCATTGTGAGTTCACAGGATTAAGTCCTCGCTGTAGCATGAATGAGGTGGTTTCTATTCACTCCAACAGTAGGTTTTACAGACACTGCGTATACATGTAAGTCAAAATGGTAGACTAATTTGTACAAATCAACTGGCGATGCTTCACAATAAGATCAGCTTCAACTTTTAGCAAGATCCAACATCAACAATCCACAAAATTTGTCTAGAAGATGCCTGACTACAATATAAACAAGTTGACAGTAACCGATAAGAGAGACAAACTCTCATATCCACTAAATCTTAATACTTGAAGAGAGCTGTTTTGGGGGCAACCGTACAGGTGCACACAACCTTTTTTAATATTGCATATTCTTTTTTTTTTTTTTTTTGTATTTATGGGGGCGGCGACGTACCCTAGCCCCCGCTGCGTACAGTCATGATTCAGTGGCTAAGCAATGGCCTCATTACTGTGAGCCCCAGGATCAAAACCGTGTCGATATGCTTTATTAGTGCCCTTTTATGAGGCATTAATCCTCATTACTGTCACTTATGACTTAAGGACGTAGGTCCCCTAGTTGATTAGCATAGTAGCATACACATGCTTTAGCAGTCACGCAAAAAAAAACTAGATGGAATTTTGACTGCGCGCAGTCGAAAATGATGCCTCCGCCATAGAGCAATTTAAACAAGTTTGGAGTTTAAATCTCCAGTGGTTCTTGAGATATCATGATAACAATCTCAATGTATGGAATTTCATAAGTTGACCTCTGTGACCCTTGACCTTTGACCTACGTGCTCCAAAATCTAATCAGATTGTCTTCCTATGGTGATACACACTATCATTAAGTTTGAAGTTTAAATCTCCAGTGGTTCTTGAGATATTATGATATGGTGATACATACTATCATTAAGTTTGAAGTGAAAATTCTCCAGTGGTTCTTGAGATATCGCGATAACGATCTCAATGTATGGAATTTCATAAGTTGACCTCTGTGACCCTTGACCTTTGACCTACGTGCTCCAAAATCTAATCAGATTGTCTTCCTAAGGTGATACACACTATCCTTAAGTTTGAAGTTTAAATCTCCAGTGGTTCTTGAAATATTATGATAACAATCTCAATGTATGGAATTTCATAAGTTGACCTCTGTGACCCTTGACCTTTGACCTACGTGCTCCAAAATCTAATCAGATCGTCTTCCTATGGTGATACATACTATCCTTAAGTTTGAAGTTTAAATCTCCAGTGGTTCTTGAGATATCATGATAACAATCTCAATGTATGGAATTTCATAAGTTGACCTCTGTGACCCTTGACCTTTGACATACGTGCTCCAAAATCTAATCAGATCGTCTTCCTATGGTGATACATACTATCCTTAAGTTTGAAGTTTAAATCTCAAATGGTTCTTGAGATATCGCGCTAACAAACTCAATACAAGGAATTTCATAAGTTGACCTCTGTGACCTGTGACCTTTGACCTACGTACTCCAAAATCTAATCAGATCGTCTTCCTATGGTGATAAATACTATTCCCGAGTCTTAAGTTTAAATCTTAAATGGTTCTTGAGATATTGTGATAACGGTCAAACGGGACGGACGTACGGACGTACGGACGGACAACCCGAAAACATGATGCCTCCGGCACCACCTTCGGTGGCGGAGGCATAAAAACACTCACAGTTACGAGGCCTGTAACTGCAGCCAATCAATTACGACAACAAGGTTTTTACAGGAGTGTTTCTTTTATTCTTTGGTATGAGCGTAGCTTCATTTCTTTGACTCCTTTCTTTCAACACCGTTCTTTTCACTCCGTGAAAACTGTGAGAAAACAAACAACAAAAATGGGCATTAATTAAAATGCAATAATAACTACAGGTTCCTTATCCATGTAATAATTACAGGTTCCTTAATACAAATTTGGGCGTGACCCATAGGCATTATACCAAACCTTGCCATTTACTTAACCTTACTATTTCTTTGTGTTTCCTGAATAGTCTTCACACTTCTATAAATTAATACAACTTAAGTTCTTATACACAGATTCATCAACATAAATTCTTATACATGGGCACCTGCCTCAAAGTTATGGCATTAATATCATAATTATACACACATTTCCCACAACTGAATCACTGCAAGCTGAAGTACTGACCTTCTTGCCTCCTTTTTGTCAATTAACTTGTCTGCAGCTAAGAATATGTTGCAATTAATCATTGATTTCTCATTGTTCTTCATTGATCATTGTTTGACTTTGAAACTCTGTCTATAAAAGTCTGTCGCCGAAGATGGCGCTCTAACCTTTTGGTCGACTAAATCAAATACACTTACATGGCTCCTTTAAATTAGTACAACTTATTTACCATAATAAACTATTTGACATACCTGCGATAATTCTTACGTGTTCTACAGAACTAACATTTCTAACTTTGTATATATACAAAGCACATCTAGAAGTAAATGTAATGCATCTCGCTGTACTTACTAGCTGCATGTACTAGCTTCAATCTATAAGTTTAACTGATTTTACAACTTATAATGTTCAATTCTAATCCTTCTATAACAGATGTTCAGAGATCAAGAATCTAAACTAATGCATAAATTTGACTCTGTATTAACCAAAACACCATCCATGTATTGTATAGTAATACATGACTTTAAATTTTGTTTCAAATTAGTCTCAGCCCTTAATCTTGAAAATTATTTTATGCATGTATAATTTTTGTTAAATAACATTTACTCCTTAGTCTTGCATCAGACACATAGATATGATTTAATGAGCATCAACCTTATGTCTACAATTCATTTTGCAAACAAATGAAATGTCACAAGGTTACAAGTCTGACTTCAGACCCTAGTAAGTTTACACTGAAATGAATAATCTTAAATATAGTCTCACTTGACACTTAGATGTAGTTTTCATCTCAGACACAGATATACCTTTACTAACGAGGGAATAGTTTTATATTCCAAGTTGACCTTTTCAGAAAATAAAGCATGTTTAACCTTAAACATTTCAATTTAGTCTTACATCCAGACTCTAGCATTATGATCAAACCAGTATACATATACATAAAACAAGGCGGCATTTAGAAAATTGAAGGTATTCTTCCTTTCAGACTTTAGAATTTGGGTTGAAATCACATTTATCAAACACAATGTCTGCGAAAATTCAAATTGGTTTCAATTTCAGACACAATGAACAATATCAAACGATAACATAAATTAGTCTTAATTCAGACCCCTTGGCTCCTTGTTATCCAATGCCAGGCTCAATCTCTAGACATGGCGTTTTGGACATAACAATTATTACTTTAGGTTAATTAAGTTAAACCCCCTAGCCTCGTGGCTCCTTGTCAATCAAGTTCAACCTCTTAGCCTTGTGGCTCCTTGTCAACCAAGTTCAACCTCTTAGCCTTGTGGCTCCTTGTCAACCAAGTTCAACCCCCTAGCCTTGTGGCTCCTTGTCAACCAAGTTCAACCCCCCAGCCTTGTGGCTCCTTGTCAACCAAGTTCAACCCCCTAGCCTTGTGGCTCCTTGTCAGGGAATTTCCCCTGGTCTTCATGCGCGACTAACAAGATAAGCTTATGTATTGGTCGTTCGAAATAACGTTGTTGGAAGATTCGCTTCCCGCGACTGTTTATCTTGGGCTCACCCGTCACCAATTTAACCTTACGCACATGATTGTCCGAGGATGGGTAAACATCAACTACTCTGGCTAGCGTCCATTGGTTTCTTGGATTGTCGTCTTTCATTATTACGACATCACCTATACAGGTTTCACGCTGTGGGCAAGTCCATTTCTGACGTGATTGGAGACTCTGGAGAAACTCTCGCTTCCAACGCTTCCAGAATTCGTTCGCGAGATGCTGAACTCTCCTCCATCTTTTCCTAGAGTACAAGTCCTCTCGTTGGAAGTGTCCTGGAGGCGGCAACAGCACGTTGGTTTTCATCGTCAGAAGATGATTCGGTGACAGGGGCTCAGGATGTGTAGGGTCATTCAAATTGTCGACAGTCAGAGGTCTGCTATTTACGATAGCTGCTGCTTCGTTCATGAGGGTGCGCAGGGACTCATCATCAAGCTGCTGTCCAGCTTCATACAGCAATGTTTCTAGCACACGACGTATACTGCGTATTTGTCTTTCCCATACACCTCCCATGTGACTAGCCGAAGGGACATTGAATTTGAAGTGAATATAATCACAGTCTCTCCTCAGAAGAAATTCCTGAATCTTGTCCTGGTGTGTATTACTACCTTCTCTTAGCTCAGCTTCAGCCCCGATGAAGTTAGTGCCTCTATCTGAACGAAGCTGGCGCACAGGACCTCTAATGGATAGGAATCGTCGAAGAGCGTTGATGAAAGAGTCGGTTGTCATCGAATTTAGTGTCTCAATGTGCACAGCCCTAGAAGCCATACAACTGAAGAGGAGGCCGTACCTTTTCAGTTCCTTTCGGCCTTCTTTGATTACCCATGGACCAAACACGTCCATACAGCTGTATGTGAAGGGTGGTGTAGGCTCAACTCTGTCCTTAGGCAGGTTTGACATCTTCTGCCATTGAGATTCGCCACGTAGCCTACGACATGTGACACACTTCCTTATGAGTCTAGAGACTGTTGAGCTCCCAGATAAGACCCAGAAGCCGCTGGACCTCAGTTGGTTGATGGTCATACCTCGTCCCTGGTAAGCTGTCTGAATGTGACAATGTCGTATTATCAACTCTGTAATATGGTGGTCCTGAGGTAGAATAGCTGGATGCTTACTTTCATAGGAACCTTCAGCAGAACTTAGGCGTCCACCTACTCTCAGTATCCCATCAGCGTCGATGAAAGGGTCAAGACGATGAAAGCGACTATACCCTTGCTGCTTACGCCTGTGTCTCTTGTTTGCATTCATCTCACTACCTTTACCAGACTGGTTCTGTATAGCTGTCAGTTCATTACTGAATGCATCTCTCTGTACGGTCTTCAGTATTTCACATTGTGCTTTGTTGAGTTCCTTTGTAGTAAGCTTCTGTAGCTCACCATGGAATGAAGTCTTTCCAGTGGTGGATGACTTGCTCAGACCTCGCTCTCGACATCGCCTTCTCAAATGCGCCTTCAGTCTCATGCAGTTTGCTACTGCCCTTTTAGCTCTGTGCCAAGAGAAAAATCTGTCCAAACGATCGATCTCAAAGGTAAAAGGCTTAGAGTGACCATGTACAACGTTTGCATGAGCTTTCTTCACTTCTGGATCATCCAACTTCACGTCAAACTTATCACCTTGAATGAACTTCTCTGCGTTGCTCTCCCACAGGAACTTTGGGCCAGTAAACCAAGAGGAAGACAGGAGTTGGTTGACTGTAGCTCCTCGAGAAGCAATATCAGCTGGGTTATCCTGTGTACCCACATGTCTCCATTGTGAGGGGGAAGAGTGTTGTCTAATCTGATGCACACGGTTGGCAACAAAGACATGAAAGCGCTTCGAGTCGTTACTAACGTAGCCCATTACTACATTGCTGTCCGTCCAATAGAACTCTTCAGTGTCTGAAGGTACAAACTCTCTCTGAAGAAATGCACTGACTCTAACTGAAACAACTGCAGCTGTCAGCTCCAGACGTGGTACAGTGATTGGTTTGAGAGGTACAACTCTGGCCTTCCCCATCAGGAGTGTACAATGCACCTTTCCTTCATCATTAGTCAGCCTTAGTTATGTGCACTCGCCATAACCAGTAGTACTGGCATCAGAAAAATGATGAAGCTGCGTTGTCTTTACTTCTCCGAAATGTGCAGGCTTGTAGCATCTTTGTATGGAGATTGAGTCCAGATTATGCAAATCAGCTCTCAATTTCTCCCAGCTGCTTCTCTGTTCATCAGGCAGTTGATCATCCCAGTCTACTGCTTTCCTGCATAGTTCTTGCAAGATCTGTTTTCCTCGCAGTACAACTGGCGCCAGCAGACCCAATGGATCGTAGATTGACATAACTGTTGCTAAGACTCCTCTTCTTGTCAGGGGTTTGTCATGTAGAGTGAGCCTGAACTTAAGTGTGTCGGACTCAACGCACCATAGAACTCCCAGAGCCTTTTCCATGGGTGAATCAACTCCCATAAGATCCGTCTTGGAGACTCCCTTCGCTCTATCAGGCTCCGAAACAGATTCCATTACTTCTCTGCTTTTAGATATGAACTTGTGTAGATGCAGTCCACTTTTCTTACACAGTTGTCTTGTTCTCGAAACTAGGTCGATAGCATCTTTTGTAGAAGGAACGGATTTCAATCCATCGTCCACATAGAAATCCCGATGGATGAAGTCCTTCACATCATTTCCAAATTCGGCTGCGTGATCAGTAGCTGTCTGCTTCAAGCAAAAATTGGAGCAGCCTGGGGAGGAAGATGCGCCAAACAAATGGACAGTCATACGCAGCTCAATGGGTTCTCGAAGAATATCTCCGTCTTTCCACCACAAATATCTCAAGTAGTCACGGTGGTCTTCTCTCACCTTGAATTGGTGAAACATTTCCTTTATGTCGCAACTGAATGCAATCTCGTCTCTCCTGAATCTGCAGAGTACGCCTACGAGAGCATTTGTCAGGTCTGGTCCAGTGAGAAGATAATCGTTAAGGGATTCCCCCTTGTACTGTGCACTGCAGTCGTATACGACCCGAAGTTTGTTGGGCTGTATAACACCGTGGTGGGGAATATACCAGACTGGACTATCAGCTGTCTTGATTTCTGGTGCTAACTCTGCGTACCCTTTCTCTAAGAGTGCTTCCATCTTCTCTGTGTATCTACGGTGGTAGTTTGAATCTCTTTCAAACTTTCGTTTGAGATGTTGTAGTCTCTTGTCTGCCATACACCTGTTGTTTGGCAGATCTGGTTCCTTTTCCTTGAAGGGAAGTGGAGTTTCGTAATGTCCATCTTCTGTTAAGCGAACATTATTCTTCATGATGTTCATGAATCTGACATCATTATGTGAGGAAGGTTCGCTGTTGTCTCTTAGGTCCGAGAAGTCTGCTTCCATTATCCTCAGCACCGATGAAGGACTTATCTCTTCCTTGATGGTGACGTTGTGTGAGAACATCACCTTTTCTTGGTTGCAGTTTTGCTTTCAGTCAGCTCAGGGAGTATCTCACAGGTGATCAATCGATGACTGAACCCTATTCTGTCGTCAGGGCTGACAGCAAACTCCTTCTGACTTGATATACCCACAACACACCAACCTAGATCTGTCTTCATCCCAAAGGGTCCATCATCATCATCAGGAGAAAGAATTATGCTGCGAGGAATTAGAGCACGTGCACAATCATATCCGATCAGCAATCCTACCTCACAGTCTTGTAGTGGTAGCAGTTCCTCTGCAATTTCAGTCAGATGAGGAAAGGACATAGCCACTTCAGGCACTGGAATATACTTCCTATTTGCAGGCATGATGTCTCGTGTATAGACTGCAGGGAGATCAATCGTCTTCATACTGTTGTGAGCACGAACCGTGAGTCCTTGAATTTTCTCACTAGGGATCCTCTCATCCTTCTTGGACATAGTAGAAAGAAGAAGATTCACCTTTGAACCTTGTAGATTCATGGCTTCCTTGGTAGATTCCAGCAAGAATGTGGTGTCCGACTGAGTATCCAATAATGCATATATCAGCCTTTCATCAAATCTGCCCTTCTGTGATATCCAGACTGGAACAACTGCTGAACACTTTACAGCCTGTTTCTTCAAGGTCATGTGGTTTACTGTTGTGTGAGAACTTGATGACCGGAGTTCTTCTGTTGCATTAGAACTTTCATGATCAGACGATTGGAACTCCATTCTCACATCATCTCTCTCTTGTACTTGATTACTCCGATTCCAGTCTTCATGAAGAGAAGTGGGATGTCGCCGTTTGCAGACACTGCATGTGTCTCTCCTTCTGCATTCTCTTGATGTGTGTCCTCTTATGAGACAACTGTAACACAGTCCATTGTCTCGTACGTAGGTCTTTCGCTCCTTCAAAGTCATTGAAAGGAACCTTTTACAAACTCCTAGTTGGTGGTTTTCCTTACAGAGCACACATACATACTCCTGCTTCTTTCCCTTTCTTGGATGCTGAGGGCATTGATCTGTCGAGGCATACATGGATGTTGCGCCCAACATGGATGTTGCTTGTCTACCTTCAGCTCCTTTACACTATACAAAGAGGTAATTGGGTCGCATGCGATATTGGCCTCCTCCTCAATGAAGTCACTGAACTCATGAAATGATGGGAAATTTCCATGAGTTTTCTTCCAATGAGCAACTTTCCTACCCCAACTCACAATCAGGTGGTCTGGGAGTTTAGCCAAGATCTTCCTATTTTCCCTCTCATCATTCAATTGAGCCAGATTTCCGATGGTTGTCATTGCTGTACAGCACTGTTTCACGAAGTCAGACAGCATTCGAAGACCTTGGCCATCTCTGTTGCTGATTCTGGGCCAAGAGTCCAATTTATCCCTGTAGGCACTAGACAGGACAAAGGGATATCCGTACCTCCTTTCTAGGGCCATCTTCGCAGCAGCATAAGAGTTGGTATCACCTAGCAATGCGTATCATTGTACCAGTTGCAAGGGTTGGCCCTTTATGTACTTCAGAAGATAATAGAACTTATCTGCTGCGTTTATCTCTCTTCTTTCTATTAGGAGGTCGTAGCTTCTTTTCCAAGTTGGATATTGGAGGGGACTTCCATTGAACTGAGTGGGCTCTGGAGGGGGCAATTGACTTATCCTCATCTGGTCCACTAAACTCGCTGCTAACGTGTTTCCCGTTTCAATGTCCTGAGCTCTTGGGTTAATCTTCTCCATCGTAGGTGGGTCATCTTTTGGTTCGGCGTTGACCCACTCTTCACAATCATTCTGTCGTTTTGGAGAAGGTTTAGAGGAGTGTCTGGATAACGTCGATTGGGTTACAGAGCCTCCTTGTAGAACCTTCACTCTTTCGTGGGTTTGTTTCATCAGCTCTGCATGCTGCTGCTCCTCCACCTCTTCAATCTTGTCGAAGCTGTCATCATGCAATTTTAAGGACACCTTAATCTTGCTGAGAGAATCCTGAACTACTGTTGCCTTGTCCATAGCAGCTTGGACTTCATCTCTCTGTTGCTTGATAACCAATACGAGTTCTTCATCACTTAAAGCAGCTCTCAACTTATTGGCCGCTTGACGCCAACCTCTTAATGAATAACGAAACTCCAGTTCACGTTGGTCGTTTTGGTGCTGGAGTCCAAGTTCGGTTGGCTTCGGGTCGGATCTCGTTCGCTTAGCCTCTTCTTCCTCTGGCATCTTGTCGACAGTGAACATAAACCAATCTTAGAGCCGGAAGTTTTCACTGTAACTGCAGCCAATCAATTACGACAAATTAACAAGGTTTTTACAGGAGTGTTTCTTTTATTCTTTGGTATGAGCGTAGCTTCATTTCTTTGACTCCTTTCTTTCAACACCGTTCTTTTCACTCCGTGAAAACTGTGAGAAAACAAACAACAAAAATGGGCATTAATTAAAATGCAATAATAACTACAGGTTCCTTATCCATGTAATAATTACAGGTTCCTTAATACAAATTTGGGCGTGACCCATAGGCATTATACCAAACCTTGCCATTTACTTAACCTTACTATTTCTTTGTGTTTCCTGAATAGTCTTCACACTTCTATAAATTAATACAACTTAAGTTCTTATACACAGATTCATCAACATAAATTCTTATACATGGGCACCTGCCTCAAAGTTATGGCATTAATATCATAATTATACACACATTTCCCACAACTGAATCACTGCAAGCTGAAGTACTGACCTTCTTGCCTCCTTTTTGTCAATTAACTTGTCTGCAGCTAAGAATATGTTGCAATTAATCATTGATTTCCCATTGTTCTTCATTGATCATTGTTTGACTTTGAAACTCTGTCTATAAAAGTCTGTCGCCGAAGATGGCGCTCTAACCTTTTGGTCGACTAAATCAAATGAATGAATGAATGGACTAAATCAAATACACTTACAAGGCCATTGCTTTGTCACTGAACCATGATTGTACGCAGCGGGGGCTAGGGTAGGGGGCAGTTTCCATAAATTAAAAAAACACAGAAAATGCAATAAATGTTCAATAATTTATTGCATTCTACCCCGGTCCCCAACATAAAAAACATCTTCTGTGTGCCCATTCCTTGAGCCATAATACATGGCCGTCCAGAGGATTTGTTTATGTTGGGGACCGGGGTAAAATGCAATAAATTATTGAAAATTTATTGCATTCTCTGTGTTTTTTTAATTTTATTAATGGAAACTGCCCCCTACCCTAGCCCCCGCTGCGTACAGTCATGGTTCAGTGACAAAGCAATGGCCTTGTAACTGTGAGGCCCCAGGATCAACACCGTATCGATGTGCTATATTAGTGCCCTTTTGTGGGGCATTAATCCTCATTACTCTCATTTATGACTTAAGGGCATAGGTCCCCTAGTTGATAAGCAAAGTAGCATATACATGCTTTAGCAGTCACGCAAAACACACATTGGCAAATTATTATTCAATAAAATCTGAGGATGTATACTATTATCTAGATCTAGTATTTTTAAGTTATTTTTAAAATAATTCCATGAATTGGGATAGAATTTAAAAAAATTCCACCTTTCTGAGCGACAGTGTATTATCTAGATCTATTAGGAATAAATCATTGTTGAAATCTTTCCATAAATCGGGGTAAAAAAAAAATATTCCACCATTATGACCAACAGTGTACATGAGATATTTACTGCTGCAGGTATTAACTAAAGCTATGGTCACAACTCAGAGCGGCGACTGACCGATTTGTAGCCTGCTCGGTCGCCGCTGAAGTTTAGGCATCGCCCAACGATTTTTGGAGAAGTCCGGCAAGCTGTAGAGCCCAAGCGATCCCTGGGCGGTGCCCTGTCGATTTCCCGCCGGTTGCCGATCGAATTTAGGTAAAACTGGGCGAAATCGGGGAGCATCTCCAGGCGGCGTCCCGGCAGTGACCGAGTGATGACCCATCGATTCCCGAGCGGTCTCCCACCTGCCACCGGTTGATTTTAAAGAAATTGCCCGGCGGCCGGCCGGTGATTGGCGGGGCACCAAAATACGCTCGGTGCCCGGGCGGTCGCCGCCCGAGCACTGACCTAATCGAGCGATTTAAGCCAAATATCGAAGCCGCTAGGTCAATACAAAACCTGCCGACCGATTTTGAACTCGCAGCCCAGTGATCGACTGATCTCCGAGAGGCGATCAGTCGGTCACTGGGCGGCCGGTCGGCGACCGCTCAGCAATCTTTGCATCTTTGCATCTCAGAATTTTCGGCGACGAGTAAAAAGTGAGGAGGCCTAAAAACAAGCGGTGACCGGGCGAAATTGGCTAAAAACTCGCAGCCCGGCCGCCTAGCAGGCTACTTTTTTGGGTTGTTACCATAGCTTTACGCCGACTAGGAAGCCCCCGTCTGAACATGGCTAATTGACACGCAGGTGTAGGTACTCCTTTCTAGAGAACAAAAAAAGGTTTTCATGATGCACCTCCATCACTACAGTCTTGTTCAGACGATGGCAATTTACCCCGGGGTAAAGGTTGTGTTGAGAGCTAGCCGGGGGTAAATATGGTGAGGTCGGTGTAAAGATCGGAGTAGTGACAGCCTTAACGATGGTGGACGTTTTAGCTACGCCTCCCTTTCAGGGGCGTATCCAAAGGGGGGGGGGGGTGTGGGGTGCGACACCCCCCCCCCCCCCCCCCCACCTGTCAAGATATTGTTGGTAAAATTGCGCTGCCGTCGGGAAAAAGAAAAGAAAAAGAGGGAGAAGAGGAAAGAAGGGAAAAGAAGAAAAAGAAAGAAAAGAAAGAAAAGGAAAAACGAAGAAACTGGGTGAAAGAGAGGAGAGAGACGGGAGGTAAGAGCCTGAGAGAGGAGGAGTGGGAGTAAAAGAGAGAGGGGGTTGTTGGGTGGAGTCGTCTCATCGAGGAAGCAAGAAAGACACGGTTAAATATGTTACTGTGTCAGGCAGTGGCGGATCCAGGGCGGGGACCAAGGGGACCCGGCCCTCCCCCCTGGGAAAAAAATGTGTATTTTTACATTTTTTAACGTTAATTTTACCCTTTTTTGGAGATGCCCCCCCCCCCTCCCCCCCCCCCTGGCGTTCAAGGGGGGGGGGGGCAATTTTTCAAATTTTCGAGGACCAAAAAAAAAAAATTAGTGCTCACTATTACCCCCAACCCCGTCCAAAAGGGAGGATCAGAGCCGTAGCTCACACAGAACATCGAATATTATGTTTTCTGACATGGCAAATTCAACTATGCAACTTTCAAAAGTAAAAGTGCTTACCTTGAGCATGTACATTAGAAATGGCTGCCTTTTCGGTGACAAACATCTAACAACTTCTTATCCTTGGGTTTGGCAGAAATTTCAAGGTTATGGCAACTACTTTTAATTTTAAAAGTTGCTTAGTTGAACTTGTTATGTCAGAAAACATATTATTAGAAACTAACATCATTAGAATCGGACGATGTTAACTGTGTTGGTGAATTTCTAAAGTGCATTGACCTTCTTGACCATAGCGCCCTCATTTAAGGTCGGAGGTATAACAACCTATACATTTTTGGAATGCATATTGATAAGGTTCACTGTGTTGGTGAATTTGACCACCAGTCAAAAGTGTGTTGACCTTTCAACGTTTTTTTTACCATAGCGCCCTCATTTAAGGTCGGAGGTATAGCAAACTATACATTTTTGGAAGCCTCATGACCAGACGAGTAATTTGATATGAATATTGACACGATTGGACGTATTTGAATTTCTATCCCTGTGTGACCTTTGTTGACCCCTCACGAAAATGCCTGGGATTTTAAAGCAGGCAGCCCAAGTCAAAATTGTTTGGTATTCATCAGGCAACACAAAAACACTTTCAAACCTTTGTTCCCAGAGATTGGTCACGGGACCTACAGGCTGGTCTCCTACTACATCAATAGTTATTCTTTCGACAATAATGTCATCAACATTTAAAAAAGTCAAAACTGTTAATTCTTGTTATTAATTAAACGGGGCCGCGACTACCCATCTGCCCTCTTCGAATAGGTGACCGCCAGTCTGGACTCTATAGCACTTGACAAAGCTAATAATATTGTGACTTCCGATTTCGTCGATACTGAGACACGCTATGCTTATTTCTCACACCATTCCTCGTGGCTCGTCTAAGCGCCTAATTGGATTCGCCAGATTCGTTTGATGACATTCGGGTAAGAAAATTGGTTCAGAATCCTTATAAATTTTTCTTTTATTACAAAGGGATATGATAATTCATGTAGGTTTTACTTGGCGCTTACAAATATTAATGACTGTGTTATTTATCACGTGAAGTTAGTTAAAGGGTCGTCAGTTTCCATGTGCACAAACAAAATATCTCATTATGACGAACCTATGCTTGCTTGAAGTGGGTTGTAATCAAAAAATTGTGAGAACATTGAATCAGCTACGTGTCGTGCATTATTACGATATGCAAAAGAGTGCAAAATTTGAAGGAGCGGATAAAAATAGTCATATAGCTCAATGGTCGCACCCATACCCCCTTTCATTCATCCACCTGGTATAAGTCCCACCCTCCCCCCATTATTGTGTCCTTGCACGCTCTGTTACTCTGCTAACTTATTCATTTGCTACCAGATCACTCCCATTGACACAATTTGTCTTATTGTTTTACATTTTACAGATGACGCTCAGCAGAACAGATCGATGCGCTATCAGTTTATTTACACAAGTTTCGTTGTAAATATCGGCAAAGGTATCTAAACATCGTCATAGACATCGTCACAAACAATCAAATATCATCATGAACATCGGCAAGAACATCGTCATAGAAATCTTTCTTGGTATATGCTATCTGCTTTTTGTCGGACGAGTTAGGTCTGTCTCTTTCTGTGACGAATTTTGCGATTGTTATCCTCCTGACATACTCTGCAGCGGAGTTGACTTCACAGAAGCATTGAATTACACCATTCCTGACGAAGTCGCGAACACCACATCACTTGAAATTTTAATTTTTGACGAAACATTAAGACTTGGTAACGACACGTTCCAAAGCTTCAATGCTTTACAAAGGCTTGTCATAGATCATTGCCCAGTTACCTTCGTAAGTGAATTTGTTTTCGAAGGGCTTAATGAGTTACGGTACATTTCGCTGACATTGAACTCTTTGACAAATGTTCCTATTAAAGCGCTATCCCGCTTGAAGACACCTCTGGAGGAATTACATCTGGTACATCAACAAATAACGAACATCCCAGCGAATTCATTTGCGCAATTCGGCAGTCTTCGCAAATTGACTATCAAATACAATTTCCATGATCTAGATATATCCGCTAATGCATTTGCCAGTCTTGCAAATTTAACACACCTTTACTTGTCGAATAATGGCATCAGACTTTTACACGACACCACTTTTATGGGTTTACATAATTTACAAGAATCAGACCTTAGTTACAATCTACTTGTTGCAGTTCCAACTGCAATACACGCTCTCAAGTCTCTCAAAAAGTTAGACCTGTCTCATAATCAGCTCTTGGACAATCCAAGGAATCTCTTGTTCTTGGTGGGAATGCCAAAGCTCCAGACTCTCGAAATGGGGTCCTGTGCCATTTCTGAAATTTCTTCAGATGCTGTTGATAACCTCATGACATCTAAGGATCTAGCTGTCGCAAATTTCGATGGAAATCCGTTTAATTGTACAAAAGATCTCTGCTCGTTTGCAAGTTGGTATCTTAGTCTACCCGAGCCACCAAGTACAACGAGGAGTCCTTACTACATACCTTTCATAACCGTAAGTCCTCCCCCTGGCAAAGGACCATATCGGTGTAAGAGTAGTGGACAGCCCCTCCTGGAGTTCTACAGCAATTCTTATTGTTTGCCGGCTCCCGATCTTACCCCGTCCAATGTTCCTGATCCTGCTGACGATTCTACTCCATGGTATGCGATAGTAGTTCCCGTTACTCTCATCCCTGTTGCATTTGTCCTTGTCATTGTGTCCTTCGTAATATGGAAGTTTCGTCTGATTAACCAATACCACCATCACTTTGGGATCCACTTTCAACGCCGTGCTAATAACGGAGCTGTGCAGAGGAATAACTTCGAATATATCTTCGATGCCTATGTCAGCCATCACGAAGACGATAAGCCATTCGTCCAAGATGAGATGCTTCCTCGTCTCGAAGATGAGAACGGCTTCGATCTCTGCCTCTCCTTCCGCAACTTCCGTCTGGGTTCTAACCTCCTGGAGAATGTTTCCTCGGCCCAAGATGTCAGTCGTGCCGTCATATTTATCATCAATGAACGCTTCATGCAGAATGGACAGTGTAAGCTGGAGCTTGAGATGGCTTCGACGAGAATGCTGGAAGATGAGATGGATCATGGAGTACAACGTCTCATCCTGATCCTGATGGAAGTCCTGGAACCAGACCTGATGAACAACACTCTGAGGATGCTTCTCAATCACGTGGCTTACCTTGAGTGGGATCCTACGGTAGAAGACAGATGTTGGGGGCAACTTATAGCTACTCTGCGAACTATGGTGCCGGAAGGGAATAGTGACGACGAAAGGGGCGCCAACGACGAACAAAATGCCGGTGACGAACCATTATGCAACCAATACGAACAACATGTTTGATGTGGATCCGTATTTAAAATTGACATTGAAATAGACTATGTAGCTGTTGGGATTGGGGGGGGGGGAAGGGGGCTAAAAACAATAATCATCGAGCCCCTCCCCCCTCCCCCCCAACAAAAAAAAGAAGAAAAAAAGAACTGTAGTCCAGAGATACATGTTGTAACTCAAAAGCCTTCATTATAACGTTGATTTTATTTTATATATTTCAATTATATTAGACCAGCGTTTGAAAACGGGGTGCCGCAAGACATCTATAGGAATGCCGCGAGAAAAAATTTACATATTACAAAATATTTTAGAATAATGTAATTTTTCATGAAAACAAAATGCTATAACATTTTTTTTTTCTTCAGGAGCTAATATTTGTAATCGATTTTTGTTGTTGTTCAAACTTTTTTGATGGAAAAGTGCTTTATAAGATACGGGTATCATTCAAGATAATTGAGGCTTCCTCGCTCGAATTGCATTTTGGCAGGAATATCTCCATATTTGGGCACAAATATGCTTGAATGTCCTTCTATTTGAGAGCGAGATGTCCAACTGTCGTCATGTCCTTGTATCGAGGTGACCTAATATTCTTATTAATGTATTCGGCAGTGAGGTTCCTGTATACATTATTTTATATCATGTGTAATTTGATTGATTACAAATCATTTTACATTATCATACTAAACAATGTCATTTTGTGTACATTTGATTTGAAAAATATTTTGTTTACGTTCGATATAATCCTTTAGTCAAACCTTTCCATTAAGGCCATCCAATACAAGGAAACGGGAAAAGGTGGCCAATGTAGAGATGTGGCCTTTCTCGACTGAGACAAAATACACGACCACAATAGACAGTTGGCCTTTATAGAGAGGTGGTAGTTATATCGTGTACGTGTTACTGCTCATTTATGTATGTTATTCCCACATTAAAAAAGATGTCAGTCAGTCACTCGATAGTGTCCGACAGTGAAGTCTAGAAGGGTTTCCTTGCATAATTTGAATACTAGGACACTGCTTATGTTTAAATTTTACGGATAGGACATACATGACATATTTATAATTCCTGCAAAGTTCTACATAATTTGATGTTGGCTGCAAAAGGGATATGGTATCTTTAGAGGGAAAGTTGAGTTTTGTTGCAGAGGGCGCTACACAAAATAATTATTTTGTGAGATAATAAAAAAACTGAGTGTCAAATTTGAAAGAATATCAATTTAAATGACAAAATCATCTTTGTATGATCAAAATCGGTTCAGAGACGACTAAAATACCCATAAATATAACCATTTCTAATATTGTGATGCCCCACGAATATTCGGTAATTTTGAACCAGCCGTTGAAAGTCGAGAGAGCGCCTTGTACGTTTTAATCCAGCCAATGCCAATATAGGCTTTTTGTTGGCTTTTTCATGTTGGTTATAATACGCACAACTAGCCGACCCTTGTATTATAATTAATAAATAAATTAATTAATGGTCAGCGATTTTTTTTTTTTTTTTTTTTTTTTTATTATTTTTTTTTTTTAAATTTTGTATTTTGTATTTTTTTTTTTTTATATAGTGGAGCTGAATTGGTATGACCGTATTAAATCTGAATTTACCCAATTCAGGGTCTAAAATTACACTCATACCAATTTTAGGTTCTAAAAGGGCACTAGAAATGTCATAAATAAGAATATGAGCATGCACTTTGAATGCATTTGCGGTCTTAAACAAGAACTAAACTATCCCTTTAGAATACAAAGTGGAAAACGCAGCATTAGACACGATATTATTATTTACGTATTGAAGTAATGAATTAATTGGTGAACTTTGTTGATGATATTCATAGCCTTTATTGTAGATATCAAAAACACTTTGCCTCGTTATCATTTTTAGTTTGCTATAAGGAAACAGAGTTTGACATGTTTTTAACAGAAATAGGTTATGAACCATCTTTCTCGATCATAGTCGAAAGCAGTGAACTCTCAAGGATTTCATTCAAACTATTTGGTTTAAATTGAATTGGTTTGGTTTAGTGCAAAACACATCAAACATGCAGCTCGCAGTCTGAAAATGTTCAATTTACAAACAAATTTAGAATATAGAGATATATAAACATATACAAAACTAAAATACATATTGTAAGTCAACTTTTGCAGAAATTATTTAGCGTTGGCAAGATTAAATCGAAATTGCAAAACAAAGTTATTTGTTTAATTTAGTAATACACTATTATAATTAAAGACCAAGACGGTGAAAAGGAGAGAATGGAAGTTGTTTGAGCGAAAGAATTTTTGAGCGAAAAAGTATTTAACATTTGCTATAAAAACATTTCTATCACAAAAATTAAAATTAAGCATAAAAATATGTATTGGAAGAGATGAAATTAAACCTTAAAATCAAAATGACAATCTCTATTCCGTTTTCCCTAATAAATGTAATAACAGCATTCATCTAAATCGAAAAATTTGTTCAATAAAATTAAATGAGTATTTAAATAACAATATTGGGTGATTTCGTATAAGATGTTGCACATTTTAATTATTATTGACATATATCTCCCTACCACCCCCTCCCCCTCTCTCTCTCTCACAATAATTATCCATTAATACATCGGAATTTGCTTCCCATTGTAACAAATCAAGATAAATGAAAGCGCAAAAACCAAATTAAGAAGGAGGAACATTTATCAAGTTTACTGACTACATGCATTCGATTTGATTTGATCTGTTTTGATTTGATTTTCATTCCTATCTCATTTCTATTGTCATTGACTATTTTCCAGGCCTCTGATTGGTCAAATTTAGTCAGCGCTGACAGTAACTGTCGGCGGACAAATATTGAAGAAAAACCCAAGGGGAGCGATATCACAATTTCTGACCACATTGCCAATTTGTCTCAAAGATTCCATAATTTTTTGTCATGATTTTGAAAGATTCATAACTTTTTTATTAATTTTGTTGTTTCTCTATTTTTTTGTGCTTCTATTAAAACCAATTTTTAATCAGGGTGTGTTTCTCCTTTAAGAACTACATAAACCCAAAATATTAATATAATTATTTCCTTTTACCTATACTGCATTGAGACAAAATGATTTATCAGAGTTCCAGAGTCGATATTATCTTGTACACCACAAATGTTTATCAGATCACAGTTAATGACTTCACATAAATCTTTTGTATATTTTTTAAAGCACTTTAAAACAGACTTGTGTCAACCACTTTCGTTTTCGATTTAAGTGTTATCATTGACAAGTGAAAAAAGGGTAATAATCACGAGGTTAGTCTGTTATTTCCAGGCATGTCCAGTCATCTTCAGGGTAGAGAGGGGGAGGAGAGGGGGAGTACATTCTGTGTTATATCGTACTTAAACACATAATAGGATAGAGTATTCTGAAATTATCTGGAGATTTGATTTGATTTAGTTTTCTTCTGCATTCATGTCAGTATACAGTTTTTCGATAACAATAATAATATAAAGTACAATAAGTATTTTTATGACAATGAATCATAAATAAGCAAATACACACACATATATATATATATATATATATATAAATTGTTATTTTGAAAAATGATTAACTGAAAAACTGTCATAAATACTAAATTTCCTCAAACATTATAAAAATTATTTGCGGAAGAAGGACTGTCATTGTAAGCGGATTGCTTGATAATACGACAGCCCCAGACAAAACTCATGAAATATATTAACACATTTACTAAGCAGAAACGGATAGGTAATTGAAAATACAAATTTTGATGATGGTGAAATTGACAATGCAGATGGGATGATGATGAAGATGAAGATGACGATGATGATAATGATTCGAATGAAATGGCATTGGGGCAAAATATCGCCCTCCCTGGATCGTGGTAGGCCTGTATAGATTTGTATACAATACACCATGATCGAATGAATTATGTATTGATATTTTACAAATAGTTGGTGCAATTTGTTGATACATTTCATTTCAATATTGTACATGACTTACTACAGATCGAAGTTAATGAATTTACTTAAAACAGTTGAATATGTTTTAACACACAGATAAAGCAGACTTGTGTCAACCACTTTCGTTTTCGATTTAAGTGTTATCATTGACAAGTGAAAAAAAGGGTAATAATCACGAGGTTGGTCTGTTATTTCCAGGCATGTCCAGTCATCTTCAGGGTAGAGGGGGAGAAGAAGGGGAGCACATTCTATGTTATATCGTACTTAAACACATATGATATAGTATTCTAAAATTATCTGGAGATGGCACTGTGACAAAATATCGCCCTCCCTGTATCGTGGTAGGCCTGTATAGATTTGTGTACCATACACCGTAATTGAATGAATTATGTGTACATATCATACAAACAAAAGTGCAATGTGTTGATACATTTCATTTCGATATTGTACATGATTCTTTGTTTTTAATACACAATCTTTTTTTCGCAAACCCAGTGTAGTTAAGAAGGCTGTCGTGGCAATCTCTTCATTTTTGTTATGCATTAACCATGCCATGGTTGAAAAGATTTGAGACAATTTTGTTTGTAATGTATAGGCCTAGAGATTATCATGCCATGACAATTAATTTGATTCTTTTTCTCCTTCTTCTTCTTCTTCTTTTCTTTCCTTACTCGGAGGTTTGTTCTCCCTTTTTCGTTATTTAACTGTTTCTTAAATTGGGTACTTCATTACCGTTTCGCCTCTTACTGAATAATCAGACTTTATAAGCTTGTATTCACATGAGCCCGATCTTGTACAAGCTTTGCATTTTGTTTAGGCTCCTCACATGTTACATTGTATTTTTTTGTATATTGTCTGTCATATATCCACACTTCTCTCGTAACAACTTGCTTTACATTATACTTCATTAAGTTATCCACCCGTGTCGTGTTGTTACTCTACAGTTTGAATAAATCAGATTTGTTTTTATGTTTCAGTTTTCAGTTTCAAGTTTCATTTCTGCATTTTCCATAAACAATAACAAAAATAACAATGAATACATTTTAGCAATATAATGATAAGTAATACATGTAGTAATT